CGCAAAAAAGATACGTGATGTGTATGGTGATGAAGCCCTTAAAGAAAGGCAATGCCAAAATTGGTTTGAAAAATTCCGTTCTGGAGATTTTTCTCTTAAAGATAACCAACGTTCAGGTCGACCAGTTAAGCTGAATGAGGATGAAATCAAAACAATCATTGAAGCGGATCGTCACGTAACTACACGGGAGATTGCAGAAAAGGTAAATGTTTCACATACAACCATTGAGAATCATTTAAAACGTGTTGGGCTCGTTAAGAAGCTGGATATTTGGGTTCTGCACGATTTGAAAGAAATTCATCTGACACAACGTATCAATGTTTGCGATTTATTGCTTAAACACAATGAATTTGATCCGTTTTTAAAACGAATCATCACTGAAGACGAAAAGTGGATTGTATACAACAATGTCAATCAAAAACGATCGTGGTGCACGTCTAATGAGTCATCGCAAACCACCTCAAAGGCACAAATATCCAAAAAAAGAAGATTTTTCTGTCAGTTTGGTGGGATTGGAAAGGTCTGGTGTATTTTGAGCTGCTTCCAAGGTACCAAACCATTAATTCGGAGGTCTACTGTCGGCAACTGGACAAATTGAATGCAGCAGTCAAAGAAAAGCGACCAGAATTGGTCAATCGTAAAAGTGTCACTTTCCAACAGGACAATGCTAGGCCGCACACGTCTTTGGCCACTCGGAAAAAATTGATGGATATTGGTTGGGAATTAATGTTACACCCACCATATAGCCCTGATCTTGCACCATCGGATTACCACTTATTTCGATCTCTGAACAACTCCCTCCGTGGTAAAATTTTTAATGATGATGACGCTGTAAAACGGCACTTACTTCAGTTTTTAGCCGAAAAAGATCAGACTTTCTACGAGCGTGGAATTTTCAAGTTGTCAGAGAGATGGCAAAAGGTCATCGAACAAAATGGACTATACATCATAGATTAAAGTTCATTACACAAGTAAGAAAAAAAACATTTTTATTTTATGGAAAAAATCAGAAATTACTTTCTTGCTAACCCAATATTTTGTAATATATTAATTTTTAATCTCAATTATCCCAGTGCTCATTATGTATTGTCATTATTATGTTCTAAAAGTTACAAGACTCCTTTTTCTACTTCTCTTTACATAATTTCTATCTCTAATATTTACTTATTTTCCATGTCGAATTAACGTTAATTATCACCTTTTCCTTTGCATCCTCTAACCCGTACTCTTAGAACCTTATTTTCGTCTCCTTTCTCTCTTTATTTGTCACTACCACTTACGTCCGTTACTCTTTCTTCCTCACTCATTCACATATCACATTCGCTTTCTATGTCTTTCTCTTACATCTTACTCTCTTCTTACACGATCACTTCTATTTTATTTCGTTTACTCTTCTACTTACTTGCTCATCCACATATTTTTTCTTCTCCCTTGCTATACAATAATTTCTAACTATTAATGCCTCTCCTCTTCAATTCCTTAGCACCTCATACCGCTCATCAGAGAACCATATAAGCTCGTCAAACATTTCTTTCGATACCCTACCAACATTTTCTTTCTCTTCCCTGACTCCTCCCTCGCTATCTCCTCCAGCATCCAACGCATTCATCACTTGTTTCATGTGAGAACATTCTCAATTATTAATGATAAAATTTTACAGGGAACTTGGACATGAAAAGAAGTAGAACTTAGTTTGATTGAGTTGGACGTTTCGTCCCTTTATTGGGACTTCTCAATTATCTTTCTTCTTCTTTTCAGCTTTTTTAACACCGCCATCTTCCCCTCTTAACTGACCGTCCACACTACCACCATAATACCACATACCTGCCTCTCTGCCTTGCCAATTTCCCTCGCCTTTTCTATCCTCGCTTGCACCTCTATTCTTTCTAACACTTTCGTAGTCAGCTCTTACCTTTTTCCTTATCTTATTTTTCTGGCGCAGTTCCCTCGCTTGCCGCGCCAAAAATGTGCACCGTACTCTAGAAAGACCGTTAGCAACCGCGATTACGCTTCTATGCAACCCGAATGGCTTTTACGCCAATCGCTCATAATATGTATATTATGAGGCGCCTTATGCAAAGCGACTATAGTTGTCTATAGCAACAAAAGCCATATTATAAATAGAAATCTTATGTCTATTTTGCGTACATTATTCCTATATAAATATTATATCTAATTACAGAGGATTATTATTTTTTATTATAAATGTGTGTGTCGACACATTCTTTATAAATATCTTACTATTTATTATAGCATATTTAAATTATATGCCGAAAAAATATATCTTTTACAGTAAATTATATACATATGTTACCGGCAAAGTGGGAAATGCCGGTATTGTACACAATGCCAGGCGTTTTTAGGCAACGTAAGAAACAGAAGAATTGCTATCTTATCTGGCAAGAAACAAATACACAATATAATATAATATAGTGCACAGTATAGCGGCACGCCAGTCTCAAAAACCCGTTCCATGCTTGCTTTTATGTGTTAGGGGGCGGGGCGTGTGTTGTGTATGTGTGCTTGTTGTTGCCCGATAAGTAATGCAATGCCTGCATTTCCCACTTTGCCGGTAAAATATACATATTACTATATTTTTACTTATTATAAAATGAAAGTTTTGAATAATAATTTCATTGTTTTTAATAAAATATTCATTTTCTTTGTCGTATACAGAGTAAGAAAAAATAATTCAGACTTCTAAATGCATCTGCTGAATTTAAAGATTTATATATACATTTATAAATAAATACATATTGTTTTCGAAAAATACAATTTACATAAGAAAAAAAAGTTTGATTGAAAAAACAAGCGTAAAATTGTATTGATAGAAACAAGAAAATAAATATTTCCTACTTTGAAATAATGTAAATAAATTTTAATTTTTTTTTCTGTTACAGTTAAGGACAACAGTACAAATATTTACATTTTACCTATTCGAATATATACTTTCTTTGAACTATCAAATACTCGTAATTATATTCTATTTTATATTTATCTCCTTCCCATAATTTACATGTCGATGTGTCACATGACAGCAATATGCGTGCTCGTCAATCTCGTTCTTTACATCTGTGCTGACTTGTCTATTTTGGCATACCGCATACGGAATATTGATATAATATCAGAGAAGGATGTCCATCACAGAATTCGTTTCCTTATTCAAATGCATTATAAAACTATTTGGTGAGTTTTAAGTACTATATATTATGAAGAAAAAACCTGAGAATTACCATATGGTCGAAAAAAAAAGAGTTTATCAAAGCTTATTAACTCTCAACATATCTTTAATTCTAAGTTTCTTAGAATTTTTGTGATATGGTCGTATACCTCAAAATTTAACATGGATACACCTATGTTACAAAATTAATCTTACATAAAAAATAATAAAATACCTACGTCAAGTCAATGTTTTCTTCAGTTATACTAATCTGTATTAACGCGTTCTAATCTTTTGTTTTAAATTAAAAAAATAATCGAAATTACAAGGTCACAAAATACTTCTTTTTATAACGAAAACATTGCCACAAATTTTAATATATTTTCTCACCACGGACATAGATCTGTCAATATGATTAAAAATGGATAAATATATAAATTAAAAATAAAGTTTTAACGGAATAAGAGTTTTTTTATCAATAGACTCCGGATGTTTATGCACAATAAATATAGAAGAATCATATGATATTTATATATTATGAAAAAATATGCAAATATACAAGAAACATATATGCAAATATGCCAGAAAAATATGCAGGCATACACAAAATATTTGGGATGTTATGTATTATCTCTCTCGCAATACATTTTGTGATTATTGTGAAATATATTATAATTTGAAATACATTATATTACAAGAGCAGCTTTTCCATATTTAAAGGTTTTATTTGACGATGTTCATCTGAAAAAATTAGTTTGTATGCGAAAAATGACTGTTACACATCATAGGAAGTAATTGGTGCATACTTGAATTTATTCCAGCTACATTCTAGTACTTCTATAGAAATTGATTCATTAAAATTTTAGGAACTTTTATTAATATAAATAATCCTGTATTTTTTTCTGTAGTAAACCTAGCTTTTTTTTTACGTTTATCTTCACAATACCTAGGTATATTGCTTACAAGGAGACGGTCAGTAAGGCACATCTCAGATTTTTTTCAAATTTTTCACACTTGTAGTACTCCAAGAGAATATTCATTGTGCCTTTAAACATGGCGTATATATTCAGCCGTTTACGAAAAAACGCGTATTGAAATTTCACATAGATATGTATTCCTTTAGCTGTGTAGTGTAGTAGTCTACAATAGCAGTGCTGTGTGTGTGTTTTTATGCCGCCGATATCTGAGCCGTTTATTTTGAAAGTGGCCTAACTCCATTTGCCAATTATTTTCGATTACGCATGGTTACATCTACAACTTCAAATTATCTATCAATAAAGCATTTAAGATTACTTATATTCCAATTCCAATTCTTCGTTCAATCGTTAGTAAATACGGACGTGTTTATCTAATCGCTCCCGAGAATATAAGTATTTAAATAATAAGTAAGTTGAGATACGTTATAAAGTACGTTAGTCGACATCGCAGTTACAAGGATGAGTAACCAGTGTACAAGCGAGGTAACATTACACCCACGCGGGTAACCGCGTGGACAAGCCTATGGCAAAAAGCTAGTTAATATGGAAAGAAATAACATCAAACCTCTGAAAATCGTTAACAACGGAAATAGCTTCATCATTCAAAATACCAAAATAGGCCAACCGTCAACAGAAAAGAAACAAACAGCTAACCTTGGTCGTACTGAAAGAAGAATAATCAAAATAAATGATAGAAACTCGCGAATRRAAAGCGAAATGGATACTGATTCGGAAGATTCTCAAAACTGGTTACCAGCAAAATCAACCAAGCTACAAAACTCAAGAAAACGCAAAATAAGTGAGCAAAAAAACAACAATAACAACTTCTCAACATCATTACCTGCAAAATGGCTCCATAACATTCCCATAAGCAACTCTTATGATATACTCGACGAATCAACAGTAACACAAAACACTACAGAAAAAGCAGTGAAGAAAAAAAAGCAGTTAAGCCTCCACCTATATACATTGACGCAGAAATCATCGACCCTCTGCTCGAGTTACTGGATGAAACAATTGGTAAAAACAATTACGTAATAAAACAACTTAAAGACAACCAAGTGAAAGTATAAACCACCACACCAGATACGTTCCGAAAGGTAATTAATGCATTAAAAACTAAAAACGCGGGATACCACACGTATCAAGAAAAAAATGAGAAGAGCTATAAAATAGTTATTCAAAGACTTCATCCCAAATCCAACACAGTTAAAATAACAAATGAACTAAACGAAATGGGACATAAGGTAAGATCAATAACTAATATGATAAAATTCGATACCAAACAGCCGCTACYATTATTTCTTATTGAACTGGCTCCTCAAGATAACAACAAAAGTATATATGAGATTAAAACACTGCTTAGTACAATAGTTAAAGTTGAACCACCAAGAACTAAAAGAGAAATACCTCAATGCATAAGATGTCAAGCCTACGGGCACAATAAAAATTACTGTAACAGAGATCCTGCATGTGTAAAATGTGCAAAAAACCATTTAACAGCGCTCTGTCCTCATGAGGGCAAAATAGAAAAAGTCATATG